AGGGCTTGGGAGCGGAGCGCAGCCGGTTTATTTTACACGTGAGACTGTTGCTTGCAACATCCATTGCGGCTCTGCCCTCCTCCTGGTGTCCAGCTTCTATTTACAGAGCCTGGCTCTAAAATAAGTAGAGTTTAGGTGGAACCGCATCCCCCTGAGTCTGATGCAACTTCTCTAACCCCATCATTAAAAGCTCTCTCAAGTGGCAGCTCGGAGCCAGGGTTGATGGATTATTTTACACGTGAGACTGTTGCTTGCAACATCCATTGCGGCTCTGCCCTCCTCCTGGTGTCCAGCTTCTATTTACAGAGCCTGGCTCTAAAATAAGTAGAGTTTAGGTGGAACCGCATCCCCCTGAGTCTGATGCAACTTCTCTAACCCCATCATTAAAAGCTCTCTCAAGTGGCAGCTCGGAGCCAGGGTTGATGGAAGCAACAGGGGCTGACAGGAGATGGAGCCCACCAGCTGGACTCCCCTCTGTGCTCACAAGGACCCTCAAAGCTCCGGGACAGGGCGGTAGTGTCAGATAGAAAAACTTCACACAGTGCTCTGTGACAAGTCCTTCACTTGACTTCTGCTGAGAGCAGGTGCTATGGCCCCAACCGCCTCTCAAGACTCTCCCAGCCAACACCCAAGCTGCTACTCCAGGCCCTGGAAATGAATCTTGTAAAGGGAAGAGTGGTTTGAGATGAGCAAAAGTCTGATTTGCTGGGGAATTTGCATCATTAGAGCCCTGCAAAATAACCAGAGAACCCACAAGGAGCCTTTGGGTAGAGCGAGCAGGGTGGATGGTTGAGGAGGGTGGGTTGTGCAATGATGTGGTGGCAGAGATGCATTTTTGCAGTCACAAGTTCCTCAGGAAATTCTTGGCTAAGAAACATGGAAAAATAGCCCATTATTATAAGGCCTCCACAGGGCAGTGTGTGGATAAGGAAGTAAGCTTCTTTATCCACAATCCTTCTGAACTCTGAAAATGAAGACCTTAACCCCATGAGAACAAAATGTAAAATGCAGCAAATTTGCTCACTACTCGAGAAGCAAATAACAGAGAACACTACAGAGAAAGTTGCATTTATGACTGAATAGAATAAAAATGACAAAATAATGATAGATATTGAAGCAGGACAAATGTACAAGGTGGTCAAAAGTTAGCGAAAATAAGAAACAATATGGAGTTGACTCACAGAATAGATATCCAAGTTAAGAACATGATCAGAAGGACTGGTACATGAAAATTGTAAATGTATACCAGGCAAACTTATGAATTGTGGTATGGTACTGGAAATCATCAAGTTTTTGAAAAAGCAAAACAGAAACTCTTACAAATTACTTACCACCTTTTCTGGACAACCATAGTGAGACAGTGCTGGCAATGTGTGCTTTGTATGTACATTTATGATCTCAGTTCCCTCCCCAAAATACTCCTCTCCCCCAGGACAACCATGCTGAAAAGAAATATGGGTGGTAGGTGAGCTCAGTGAAAGGCAAACAAGACTAGCATGAACACAAGACTGGCAAGAATAATCCAGGCCAGTGAGAAGGAACTTCAGAGCTGCAAGGTAAACTGCTTGAGAAAGCCTGGCAATCACCCCAGTGCTCTCCCTGTTTCAGGGCTCACTGAAACAATTACGTTACACTAGGAAGAGTTACCTAAGCAAGTTAAATTTCACCTAACTGACTTTAGACTGCAAGGCAAATTGTAGAGTGGTATTTGGACAATTATCATTGACTTCAGGGAGAGATTAAAAAGTAAAAACCCAGAAAGGATTTACTACATGGATCACAGAGCTAGGTAATAGAGCAGTAGTTCTTCCAAGGAAGTATGTTAATGTCATCGTAACTTATCACAGATCACCTAAACACAGCGCTCAATAGCAAGTTACAGTTTTTTTTTTTTGTTGGAGTGGTTGCAAATGTACTAATGAAATATGACCAAACCATTCTTCCAGAAAAGATATGCAGCCACGTCTCCATATTTTCATACTCTACCTAGCTAATAAAGTAGCTTAATTTCCCTAGAACACCTACCTTAACTTAACAGCTCTTAAAAACCCCCCCCCAAGTTTTTTTTAAAACCCCCTAGGCTGGAGGGCTACCATTTTTCTTTTTTTTTTTTTTTTTTTTTGGTGACACCAATGGAATTGAAACTAGCTGTGGACACAAATTGCTCCCACTTTAACAGCAACACTCTCCGTATAACAAACGTTTATTCAGAAACAGGTAATACATTATTTTCTCCAACCCCTAACATCCCATCCCCCTCCCCCCAACTCTTATTAAAACACAGGTGTTTGGTGGGCAGTCTAAAAATAGGGAACGATAGCTGTTGTAAGTCCCCTCCCCTACAAACATCTGCTGTGCACAAGCAGCACCCTACCAATAATGATGTGGTTGGTTTCCAAACCATAGAATAGGCTGGGATTAAAAAAAAAATCCTGCCACATCCTTAGTTATTTCCATGGCTAAAACAGATACAGTGAAATAGAGGAATGGTTTGCACCTGCTAGATAGAGCAAAGAGTCAGTACAGAACAAGAAGGCAAAAGAAACATAGGGTTGACCAAGAAATGGAGTCTGGACCTACAATGGTTCCAGCAAGCAGCACTGAACAGAATGGATTGGGTTACTTTCCTAACTAGAAGAATCAAGTTCAAACCTCAACCAGATTCTGGAAGTGGCTCTTACCTTTCCTCTCTTGTGACAAAAAACAACTTGAACTAATACAAGCAAACGCAGCTACAGGGACTCCACTATCCGTCGCATAACAGGGTAGCAACCAAGGGAGCACTGGAAGTGCCACCTAGCGGCCGGTGGTTGCTCGCAGATGCTCTTCTTGAAGGTGAATGCTGCTGCTCTGCACGAACTCGCCGGTATCTCGAGCCCGCGATGCCTTCCCTGCAGTGTTAACCGCTCCCCTCCCGGCCCCAAGCCTCTCCCTGCGGCCACCCGGTGCAGCGATCGCCCTCCAAGCCCGTATGTGGGAGCAGCAGGCCTGCACAGCAGCCAAGCATTAGCAACATCAAATCTCCCAAGTGATTCCTTAGGGGAAGGAGACTCCTCGTGGTGCATTAATGCCTGAAAGAGGCCTCAGCTTCTTCCTTTTCCTAGGAGAATGGGTAACCTGGAAGTTAACACAGTACTTCATGTCTCTGTCCCAACACCACAAGGATGTGACACTGGCTAATGGGAGTGAAACATCTGGATTTTCTCTAGCTCTGAACACAATCCAGGTTCTTGCTTTTCAAGTCCAGGAAAAAAAGGGACGAGAGCACAACTCAGCCTGGCTCTACACAGTAAATATATTCATCATAGAAATGCCAGTGTCTTTTTCTTCACCTCTGCCTTAAGAGTCAAAATATCCCTCCCACAGCACGATGGATGCTGCTCTTGTACACATCTCTCTTCTCCCCAGTGCCTCCCTGGGCTGACACACACTGGGGAGCTCAGTTTTTCTTGCATCTTCGTATCACAGCTTTTGAGCAGAGAGATATCCAATGGCCAAAATGAAGTGGTTTGCTACCGAATGCCTATGAGTCAAAGATGCAAGATGGTACTTGCTATATGGAGCTATACTTTTGTACTGGATGCAGCAATTTTAGAAACAACATGTTGTCTTGTCTGTTGATAACCAAAAGGATGCACCTTTTAGTTTAAAGGTAGGTCAGAAGAGAAAAGGAGATTACCACTCCTTTCCTTAGAGTCTATGTGCACTTTTAATGGCCACTAGGGGCTTTGGAGTAAAGGAGGGAATTACATCATATATGCTTGGTAATATATTACTGGCAAAAGGGGGAGGTTATTCTCTTGGAAAAAAAATGTGGAAGAAAACTCCAACTATGAAAACAGAAAATACACACACAAGAGGAAACACTATTGTACAGTAAGGTAGCGATCATAGAAAACAAAACTTCCAGGCAGGCAAATGCAAACAACGTCTGCACTCCCACACTTCTCTCATTCTCTGACTTAAGTGAGTTTTCCAGTCCACGTCTTGCTTTCCCTTCTCAGAGTTTAATTTTGAATTCTGTGGGCTGCACAGAGGCAGAGACCCCTGAGGATTTGAAGAGTGCCTTCAAGATGGTGTCAGGGTCCACCTCAGCAGGGGGGTTTGAAGAGGCGCTCGCACTTGACCGGCGTGGTTCTCCCTCCTTCTTCACGGAAGGAGTATCACTCAACCGGCTGGAGGATTAAAAGAAAAAACAAAAAACAAAACCCACAAGTAGTATTAAGCCTCACATTTTTCAAATAAACTTTACACAATGGCTGCACTGTTTTCAGTATCTCCTTTCTTCTCAATATTGGACATAGTTTAAGATGTACTTTCAGACAGGGTTTCCTGATCTCAGACTCATTCTGACTCCTAAGAAGACTCCTACAGAAACAAGCTAGTTTGCATTCAGCTCAAAACAGAGAGCTTCCAGAAAGCAACACAGAATAAATTCATGGAAAAACAATTTACCAACACATTTTCCTGCTTTCCCATAGGTTCTCCTCAAAACAGATCCCATAAACTTTTTTTTTTTTGTTTCTTCCCCTCTGGAGGCACTTACAGCAATATAGGCTGGTCTGAGGTGATGACATTCCCATTCATGTGAAGATTGCATTTCATCGGTTGACCTAAAAGAAGTTATAATAATAGTATCTCAGAATACCAGTAAGGCAAGACCCTCAAAATGCCACACAACAGTGCAAGCTCTAGTACAGCTCCACATGCTGGAGAAACCATGAGAAAGAACAGCTGAAACACCTTTTGTTGCAAGACCATAGCACTTCCAAACTGTAGTGTGACTGAAACAGTCATAGGAATATGAAATCCAAAGTTACATTAAGTTAGACAACCCTTAGCAAAGGCAGAGAGATTCTCCCATTCTGAGCTGTTCACTCCTTATCTGACAGTAAGAGTGTCACTCATGCAAAGAAACATCCCTTTTTGGCTAGAGAGCTTACACTTGCTAAAGCTGCATCAGTCCTCACACAAAAGTAAGAGAATAAGCCAGAAAATAGCAGCTAATTTCAATCTATAAAAACATGCAGATAGATCCCGATCAAAAACCACTCTGTTCAAAGTCTGTAGCCAACACTGATGTCCAGGTGCTTACACTTGCTAAAGCTGCATCAGTCCTCACACAAAAGTAAGAGAATAAGCCAGAAAATAGCAGCTAATTTCAATCTATAAAAACATGCAGATAGATCCCGATCAAAAACCACTCTGTTCAAAGTCTGTAGCCAACACTGATGTCCAGGTATGATTCAGAATGCCTTTGTCAAGCTCCATGACCTCCGATAATACTAGTTTTACTTATGCCAAAAAACAGCTACTCTGTAAGCATTTAATGCCTTTCTAAGGACTATCCGGTTTTGGCTTCTTGGTTACAGACAAGAGAAAATTCATCTGGAATTTAGATTAGAGGAAGCACTGGAAGCCTGCTTCTACCTTTGGGCTCTCTCTTCCTGACAAAAACATATTTCTGAATACCACTCAGACAAACTATGCATAGGCCTGTAATACTGTCCAGCTCTCAAAGCAGCCTTCTGGCATTCATTCTCTTGGCAACATATAGGCATTTGAGATGCTTTTAAACTCTCCACTGAGGTCAAAAACTGACTCATCCATCATAAATGCAACTTTGCCCTCAAACTTACCATCTAAGCATCTGTTGTTGTATTTCTTATATGCTGTGATAGCATCTTCTTTCTTCACAAAGACGACCTCAGCCACTCCTGGGTGCACGAGCCGGGCTCGCTTCAGAGCGCCACACACGCAGAATAACTCCTGAGGGCAGACAGCAAGTCATGACCATGATCGTATCAGGATTATCTCTTGAAGCAGACGGACATATGGAGTGGAAAGTTTAGTTTCCTAATTACATCACCTCGCCTGCTGAGAAAACACGTCAGAACCTGGCAAGAGCCATTTATCTTGATGTGTTTGCTAGGGTACAAACAAGTGCTTGGTCCTGGTAATACAGTGACACAAACCTCCGTACCATCAACTTCAGCAGCAGAGTTGAAACTTAGTGCTCTAACAGTTCTCAGTCTGCCTTGATAATTTGGTTGGGGCATAATTTAGAGGCCTACCAAACATCATTTGACGTGAACTCTTCTAAAAGATGTGAGGTACCTCAGCACAGCCTAGAAATGGGACTGCCCAGTGCTTTTAAGCACACAATTTAAAAACCAGAAAAGACCCAGAACCAACAACTAAGAAAATTCTTCAAAGTTCTCCCGAGGAAAAGAAATCCACACCATACCCCTTTTCAGTACATCTACCATAGAAAGGTGAATTATCAAAAGTAGTAGGATGGGGGATAGAAGCCTCAGTTGCCAGAGTTCAGCAGTAAGCAACACTCACAACAATGTCTTCCTCTGTGACTCGAGGATGCAGATTGTTAACAGTCATCTTTGTGCCTTCCAAAGGACTGAACACCAGCTGCCAACACAAACATTGGAATTACATGCAGAAGGTCAGAAATACAGCAGGCAAGACAGCATAGCATAGAAAGCATGAATAACATGACTAAAGGGACACCTGAAAGGAAACTATGGCTAGTAATGGAGAATATCAATGATCACAAAAGCCCAGCTCCTCTGAGGTGGAAAGGAGCCCCCTTTTCATGCCGATTTCTCTCTTAAGTAACTACCAGAAAATAGTTTCAGGCAGGTTGTATAAAAATTGCCTTGTGTGGACACCAGGTTGCTGTATTTGGGAACATCTTGTTATTCTTCCCAATAACAAGGGACAGAAAACACCACTAGTAGTATTGAAACACTCCTCTTGGCATCATACAAGCAACCAAGTGCTGCCCAAATAACAGCTGCCACTTCCCTGTAACGCAGATTCCTCCAGGACTATGTGCTCCAGTTTTGGAGAAGAAAAACAGAAGCAAAAGAGAGTCTGGGAATTCCCAACCTTTTAATAAACGCTAGAGAAGATGTTTATACAGCTTTCAAGTCCTTGGGATGTGGTCTGCAGTTATTAGAATAAGCCTAATGGAGTCCCCAGACAGTGGTGGGATGCAGACAGAAATAACTCACATAACCAACCAAGAGCAGTTTCACACATCTCTGCAGAAGTTTCTCTAAGGAGCATGACCCATTTCCCTAAGACTCACCTCAACAGGTGCTGGCTCTTTTGGGGGCTCCTCCTTTGTCACCAAGGTCCGGGACATGTTTGTCAAGTCCTTTGTCCGCATGGGGGAGGGAGGTGCAGGAGGAGCTGTGTAAGTATCATTCTGGACCACTTTAGTCAGGGGAACAGTCTTGGACAGAGAGAATTTATTGCCACTCAGCCCAGTCTGCAGGAAGAGAGAATAAAGCATTACTGAGAGAGGCAGACTACAAGAGTAGGTCCCTTTTCCTAAGCACCAACTGGCAAGTGTTAAGATCTTTTATTTCCTTCCCATTGTCCAAACTACAGCGCTGGAAACTTTCAGTTTGGAGACAAAAATCTTTTTACCCTAATATGCCAAAAGTATTTCATTTGTTTATTTTTTAAACAAGCACCTGTGATTTTTCATAGTTTCCTTAAACTCTACGAGCGCAATTTGAAAGCAACTTCTATCTGAAAATTCAGGTACTATGCAAAGTGTACACAAAGATAACTTATTTACACTAAAATTGACCTGTTTTGGTATTTCTGAAGAACGCCTGCTCATATTACACTAGACACTAAGAGCAACTTCTCTAGTGGAAGCTACCTGGGAAACTTAAGGCAAAAGAATAAAATTGTTCTTGATATCTGCAGTAATCACTAGAGACAAACACTTATTTCTGAAAAAAATAAGTTAATTTTTAAGGATAACAAATGGCCAGGGGCTCCATTTGCCTCCAAGGGGAAAGAAGAAAAAAAAAAAAAAGAAAAAAAGAAAAAAAAGGATACCTATCTCATGGCACTAGACTGCTTCTGTGATGAAAAAGCTACATTAAATTGCTTGTTTAGAATCACAGAATAGTTCAGGATGAGCCCATGTCTAACTCCCTGCCCAAAGCAGGGTTAGCTTGAAACACATCAGCCTGACTCTGGGCCTCATTCAGTCCAACTCTGAGTATCTCTGAGAACAGGCTCTACAACCGCTCTGTTGGAAACACTACTGCACTAGGGATGGATGGGAGAGAGCAAACATTCCAGGGGAAATCATCGTTTACACACTTTTAAAGAACATAAGCCCTTTAAAGCAATAGCCTGTGTGTCCACCCAATGTGGGCAAGGCGTGGTGGGGATTGCTCAGGCAATCCCTTACCGCGTTGTGCAGGAAACTGTTCGTGGTGGTGATTTTCATCTGTTTGCTAGGAAGGGGAGAGACACTTTCATCATCATCTTCCATGTCATATAGACCCTAAAGAAAAGCAAGGTAATGATTTACAAGCAGGTATATGCAATACGTGCATCACTCCCAAAGTAAGTCACTCTCCCCCACCTCCAGCCTTCTTTGAAACACATACAGTGACATTAGGTAATGAACATTTCTACTCTGGACTTCTGCCCTTGCAGGTTGGTGACAGACAGCTGAATGTAGGCAAGTCCATCTCCAAACACCATTGCTAAGGACACTCAAACTTCTCTTCCAGGAAATACCACAGCAAAGCTATTTCCCTAGATGTACTAAGACCACATAATGCTTCTCTAACTCCTAAATCACATCAGGACTCAGTAGACCCCATTAGTGCAATAAAGTCTCAATGCCTTCCTTTTTAGCACCCTGCTAGCTTTAAAGTTTAAGCCTATGCATTTGATTTTTTTTTAAGCAAGCAGATGGCTGCCAAATAGATCTGAACCCAACGTTCCTTCTGAATAGCCTGCTTTCTTCAGCATAGCACATGCCCGTCTGGCACTAGAAACACAGCACTAGGAGGTTTGCTGAATAATTCATTTCCCAGCTCCGCTCAAATGCTCGTAGGCTTGCCTCAAAATACCGACGTTAACTCCTACGCAGACTTCTCTTTTCCAGAGATTTTAAGTGATAATGCTTCCCTAGGAAAAAAGCCTCTACACATATGGCACTGCCCAGAACGTAAGAAGTCACAACTCGGTGTTTACCATTAATTCAGCAGAAAATGAAGAGATTCACAAAATGGAGGGATTAGAAACAGCTTGCAAAGCAAGTTTTCATGGTCAGCAAGATTGTGGACTGCAAACAGGAAGGTTGTTCCACATAGAGAGATGTTATAAAGGAAAAAAGCATCAGGAAATGATATGCACAGAGGATAGCACAGAGGATAACTCTGTAGAGAAAAAGAATTATGAAAAATACCAACCACCAAGACAAGAGACCTAAGCTCAAGACAAAGAGAAAGTGAAAGGGATGCAAGTGCTAAAACGATGAGGTCAGAACATGATGCTTCCTTAAGTGATGGCATCATGGTTAAATGAGGGTGGCAGGTAAATGCAGCAGTAAAACAGCTTTAGAAAGAAGCTAAAGTTACTGTAGTCCAGGCAAAAGATAAACAAGAAATATTGCCAATGTCAGTTTCCCAATATTTCATATTTTATCTATGTATACACACAAAGACATATATATACACACATATACAAAAGATGTATTTTATATTTTGCATATATTACCGCTATGGGTTATTTCAGAGAAAAAATATCTGAAGGGACAATGCCTTTTAAAGTCAATCCAGAAGAGATGTTAAAGTCAAGTGATTTTCCATCCCTTCACAGAAAATATCTCCAATAAAGGATAAGATAATTCTGATGCAATATCAAAATCCTAACTGCCATCAGCCAGCATCAGGTTTCCAGCAGGGACACAAAACTGGGTTTCATGGGAAGGTAACACCTTCTCCTACCTCACCATAGCACATCTAATGATGTCGAATCACATCCAGTCTCTGAGGAGGCAGCAAGATGCTGAATCAAAAAGACCAATCGCAAGATCTAATATAGTATTACTGAACAACTAACAGAAAGAGCTTAGAGCTAAAGGTTGCAGCTGCTAGAAAGAAAAGTTAACTTATGCAGACAAAAACTGGAAACACCTATTTTGTATTCATACACAAGGAGTCAAGATCAGCCAGGCTAAAGGAAAGGCTCAACAACCATGAAAACACCTTCTATGTGTTAAGAGAGTGTCAAGTTGTTAGAGACCTTCCAAATTCTTTCTTCTTTCCCACTTTCAACCTCCTTTTGCACCTGCCAATGTTTGTGGACCCCAACACCCTCCTCCCACAAGCAGGGTGAGCAGCAGTGCTCCTGTGGCTGACAGCACGCACCTGCTTCTGTGTATGGTTGAAAAAAACATTCCTGCCGGATGAGAGTGTCCGGGAACTGGAGCTTTCTGCTGCAGTTACAAGAAAAGAACCAAAGCATTAAGAACTACAGGCCAGCAGCTCCCCAATTCAGACAGCTGGAGCTCTTATTTCCTACTCCGAGATCACTAAAGTGAAACTCGCTCTTCTCCACCTCTTGAAATGTTGAAGCACAATTGTTAGCAATTGTGTGATCTCTAATACATTTACTATGAGATGCTTGCACTTAAAGAAATTAAACCAAGGCCAACCAGCAAAATTCAGACTCAAACTACTTGACTTTTAGTCCTAGATTAATTGAAAGTGGACTTAACTCTGACTCTACTAGTACTAATTAGATTTGATTTCTGTACTTTTTACAAACATGAAACTGTCAAAAAAAAAAAAATCAGTAAGCAAGCTGCGAATCCCTCATGCCACAGAAAAACTGAGAAGACACCTACTTCCATCAAATTGAACATGCAGGACAGTGTAATTTGTACAGTTCTGTTTTTAAAGAGAAACATATACTGTCCCTTCACCCTAGACCTGACATAAGCTGACCTGGGATAAAATAGTGCATGGGGTAGTGCAGCTGGCCCCCGTCTCTGGTCTGGTTTGGTGAAACAAGGCAACAGTAACAGAAGTCAAGGAATTCAGTCTGGCTAACCAGGAACCATGCAACAACTCCTTAAAAAAACCATCCTTTCAGTTTTTGAAAAGCCTAGAAGTTGTCCATCACAAAAAAAAAAAAAAGACTGTGCTTTAATACTCCATACAAACTGTCAGAACTTCAGGTTTGTGTTTTCTCTAGAAGACCATTACTTACATCATAGCACCCTCATGGTATGATGACTCAAATTGCTAATTCTTTTTTTTTAAAAAAAAAAAAAGATGCAACATTGGCAGAGCTACAGAGGTTTTTTGGGTCTCCTTCAAAGATACTTTTCCTTCCCTTTTAAGATGCAAAACCACAGTCCAGGGCATTAGAGCTCTGTGCTGTATCTGGGAATCAAGATACTTCAGATTCTGCTCCCATGTTGGCGGGGAGGGAGGGGGTGTGGGGGGAGAGAAAGAAAAATTGGAGGAGGGCCATAAGAATTTTGGAAATAGAATTTCAGTAAAAATATCGAAAAAAAATCAGTTGTGTGCCACAGTTTGACCAGCTCTATATTGATATAATTATTCTTTATATTGTAACATGTTGTCTAACAATTGTGAAGTACTGCAGATCAAATTAAGTCATACAAAACCAAAACAAAATACAGATCACAGCAAACTGCTACTGAATCAAGTCTCCAGAAATAATTTTAACTCCTAGAAAATGTCCAGCTGCTAATGGTTAATGTCACTTTGATTTGGCTGTAAAGGACAGTACGAATATTAATTACCCTACTAATTAGAGACTACTGAATAGACAGCTCCGTTGCTCTGTGATTTGCACTTCTAACTGTCACAAGAGTCAGATGCCGTTTTTTAAGCCATTCTTTCAGGCTGGCAGGGAATCTGAAAGCGTAGCAGGCTATATCCTAGGCTCATTCAAGGAAGAAACACGCTGGATACTCTTGAGCAAAACAACTCAGAAGGACTGATCTAGATTTTCATATTCGTGAGGACGAGAGATTCCTCCGGGCACACACAAACATGTTGCTGATCCTCATGAAGAAGGAAATGAAAGAAGCAGGTTAGGAAAGAGTTACGTGCACATTCTTGAAATAAAGAATAAAGCCACTCCTCAAAAAGCAATTCTGAGGGACTGGAAACTTCTCTATCCCCTGTAACTAACACACACACAGCTGCTACTCAGAGAAGTCAGCTAAGAAACAAGCTACTGCGCACACAACAGGATGAAATTTGAAAACTGCTGAAGAAAATCAGCAGGTGAGGATGATCAACTAACAATAATAAAAGCAGAATAAAGCTTGAGCCTCAGCAGGACAGCAGGAACAGGTCAAATAATCAGGCAATTACCTGGAAACAGGAAGGGTAGGAACATAGAAATGGGCAGATCAAGTTTTATAAAACATTTTTTCATCTTCCTAAGATATCAATATCTGCATATTCTAAACTGGATATAAACCAGTTATCTAGGCAAGACAATCCACAGCACACTCTTGCAATGAGCACCGCAGTATATAAAGAATAATAAAAAAGTTTCCTTGGATTTTAGCAGGGAAGGATGAGACTATTTAACACTTCCAGGTAATTACTTTGGTCCTAAGATTATGTTGCTTTAGTCATTTATCGGGCCCAAAGTGTGCTTTTTCAGTTTTGTTTTTTAATGAAAGCTTGGGATCTACAAAAGTCCAAAGCTCCAAACAGCAGAAAGACACTGAAAAAACAGAAAGATTAAATCTTGCCCTACAGCCTGGGTTCAGCTGCACCCCCTTGGCTTCTATGGCAACCTTGTGACACTGTATTTATCATCATTTCCACTGTTCTACTGCAGAATGGCTAGGGGGCTTACAAGTGACTTGCTTGACCTACTTGGATAGTTTTGGTGATTTTCATGGCTGGATTTACTGTCCCCACAGTTGGGCTGATAGCAGCAGCAGTAGCAGGAGTGCTCCTTTTTAAGCTGATCTTCTCTCTGGCATCCACCACTTTGGTCACCTTTTCAGTAGCAACGCTTTGCTGCTTACGGGAATTCAGCATCTCTCGAGCATCCTGCACTTTCCCTTTGATTTTGAACCGAGCGTCTTTTTGAACCAGTTTTTCACGGGCATCTTTAACACCAAGTTTGTGTCGGGCATCAGTGAGGCCAATCTTCTGCCGGGCATCAAATGTCCGCTGGAAGCCGACAGCTGGAGAGGATCTACCGAGAAGATTGTGCTGGATCCCAATGCGAGATCTCACACCTCCAAACACTGGCCTTGTGTTAAGCCTAGAAAAAGAGTTTCAGACATTGTAAGATATGATTTAGCATCAATACGAGTATTTGAGACACTGCAAACAGAAAGCTACTATTACTACCAGGTTAGATGCCCAAATAGAATAGCAGAGAACATAAGCTGCTGTACATTAGCTATTTATTGACAAAGTAAAACACAAAGAAACAATTCCTAAAGTACTGACTTCTAAAATTAGTCCTTAAGCTCGCATTTATGAACTTAACAGGCTGGACTTGGGCTGTGCCAAATTCACACTACACCTGTGCAAAGTTTATCCAGAACTCAGGCACTTTGGGGAACCCTCTAAAGACAAGAGCAGAAATTCCAGCTTTAGGACAGGTCCTCTAAAACTTCTTTGTACCAGGGCATACCATGTTACAAAAGAAACGCTGAAGCTACATGCAACTTCAAGAATCCTGGATGGCAGCTTCTGATTTTTGGAAGTGCAGGAGATTTTTTGTTGTACAAGTCTCAGCAGAAGGCTGAGATTGCCAGTAAGGACTCACTGCTCAAATCACTTGCTCACACCGCTGCCTCTTACCTGATCTACTAATACTAGAGCTGCACCCACCGGCTCACTCTAAAGCACGTTGCTATTGCAATGCTCCATATGGAAGGAGAGCAGTCAGAGTCAGAGAACAGCAGGGACAGAGAACAACAGGCCGGGAGCTCTGGAGAGAACCTGCTCCAACCACCCTGCTCCAGCAGGTTGTCCCAGACTGTGTGCAGGGGGGCTTCGCATCTCTCCAAGGATGGAGACCACATAACTAATCTGGGCAACCTGTGTCCCTCCAGTGAAGATGTGTTTTCATACGTTTCTCACCGAAAAGCAGCCCATTCTGTAGTGAAAACTGAAACTAGCTTCTCTCTACAGATTTGATTTACTTTTTCAAAGGTTCCCCTAAAAGGAAAAAGCTTGTCTGGATTTTTAGGAGGATTCCTCCTTTACATATATATGTTTTGAAGTTTTGGAGTTTTTCATTTCGTAAAAGGATGACAAACTTGTAAGGGAAATTTTAGAGTTAACGTACCTTAAAAATATTCTTGCTATTGGCTTTTATATTCAAAAAAGGGCTACGGCACTACCATGTTTAAGTTTTGTTTTTATAATCTAAATTACATATGATCAGTATTATAAAATAAATATAATCAGTATTATAAGGTCTAAAATTCAATAAGATATCTAGGATTTGTTGTGGTACTCAAAAGGCTGAGAATGTCTGAATTACTGGTTCAAACAATGCAAGTCAGCTTTTTCACACAGGTTTATATCAGCACTTCACGATTTATTTAACACTACAATTTTCACTTCTACTTACAATCATATTTACAGTGAAGATATCTGTGGAAAAGCGGCAGAAAAGAGATGGAAAAGACTAAGCATCAGCCGCTGTGTCTGGATGTGGCAAAAATGACCAATAACTTAAAAACTAGGCCTGGGGTCCCATTTTGTTGCCTAAGAACACTACAGCGATGCTCCCTCATTCAGACAGAGCACGCCAATTAAGACACAAGAATATTAACTGCATTTGTTAAAGCACAGCCAAACGTATATGTAAGAGGAAGAGTAACTGTAAAGTAACAGCCACAAAACAAAACTACCCTTGCAGTTTTACAATCTATTAACCTAACAGCACCACGAGCACTTCATCAGTGATGAAGGAAGACATAAGTGGTTTTTTTAATCAGTACAAAAAGCAAGGTCAAAGTAAAAATCAGAAATCTATGTAAACAGCATTTAAGACAGTTAGAAGGGTAAAGGCTCACATTGATGAAATCAATTCGAAATCTCTACAGAAAATGACACCTCCTCAGAAGATGAGGTCTTAACAAGCAACTGTGCATATATATATTTATATATGGATAGATAGATAGATTTGCTTATCCTACAACAAATAATACCAACTGTTGAGGCACTATGTGCCCATTTCATGCCACAATATCTGAAATACGGGGGAAGTGCAATTCCATAAAATTCAGTTTAAAGTAAGCCCTAGCTAACTTAGCTATGGCACATTATAACAGCTGGTATGTTAGCACATTTTATAACTGCAGATTCTCCCAGTATCATTTTGCTTGGGCTACCAAGGTGCATGTGTACAACAATAAAAGTTGTCAACTTGTGCAGCACTCACAGCAGCACATTAGCTACCTTGGAAATCTTACAAAGTAAGCTAAAGATGACAAACAAGAGAAACACAAGGCACAAACGCTCCAGTGGCGCTGCTGGGAGGTTATTGTTTAGCCAATAGAAGCTGGAAGGATTCCTGGAAGAAACGAGAGCTAAGGAGGGATTTGGAAAACGAGAGGAGGTGCTTGGCATATTAAGCAGCGCCAGACTGTTCCAAAGACGCAGCGTAACATGAATGGGAGCACGAAGCTGAGGCCTTGCCTAGGCTGGGCCTTAGGGAACCATTTTTCAGTTGGCACCTTTTGGCTGAGAATGTTCTAAACACGGTTCTGGGCACAGACGTGTTTGCTACTCGCAGTTAAACCCCCCAATTCCAGTGACCAGAGAACTCCAAGACAGAGGCAAACTTCACAAAGGCGGATGGGCGGACAGGTCCTCGAAACACGGAGGGGCTCGAGCCCCGGGGAGG